GAACATCTCTTCTTTAGAATTGTGCAAAACTAATTATTGTGTAGAGTATGACCATAGAGGTATAGAATATAGTACTCTTTTGGAAATTTGAATGTGTGGACTCATAAAACACTGCTATTAAACACTTAACCTGCTTATTAATAATCTGTCCCCAATTTGGGGTTGGACAAGACTTTTGCAATCATGTAGTTAGAAGATTGTGCAGTGAACATACTTTGGGAAACACTGGTTTAAGTAATGTTTTGATGCTCCTGTTCACCCTATGTCTTTACCACTCAAAGTATGGGCCACAGATGAGCAGCATTGGTGTTGGCATCACCTGGTAGCTTGCTAGAAATGCAGATGATCAGATCCTACCCCAGACCTACAGAATCAGCAGCTTAACAAGATGCTCAGGTGATACCAATGGATTTTAAAGTTTGTTAAGCATTACTCTGCACACCCTGCCAAGTGGTGCTTAGAACAGAATGTCTTTCATAGCAAGTGACCCACTATGCAACCTATATTACCTTTAGGCAGTCTAAATATTAGTAAGTTATTTCTAGTACTGAGCTCAAACTTAATTCCTTGAATTTTGCTTTTGCTTGTCTGAACTGCCTGGTAAGCCTCCAGAGCCTGGCTAATTAATTCCTCTTCTTCACGGAGGCCTTTCAAACATGAAATTGGGCTATCTTGTTTCTTTCCTTGATTTAAGCTTCTCCAGGTGTAACTAAGTCTCCTTCTCCCAAGCAGTTCCTGGTATGATATTGCTTGAGGTTTCTGTTCAGACTAAATAACCCTAAAGAAGCCTTCCAACTTTAAGGTTGATGGATCATGATGGATTCTTTTTTTCCAGTTAGTAATAAGTAATAGTGGGTAGAAGAGGATAGAAACCAAGGAACTGTGCTTTCTATATATTTAGGAAGAGTAATTCTGAGGCACAGATTTGTCATGATCCATAATTTCTGTAGGTTAAGAATTCTGCCACTCAAGAGCACACTTTGCTTTTCTTCTAACTTCCAAATTTCATTTTTTGTTTCTCTGAAAATTTTAAAATGTATGTACTTTAAGAAAAAATCCCAGCAATCCACAACTCAGTACATCAACTAATTTCATTTTTCTCTAATGCCTTTCAGTACATTAAGTCCTCACTCAATGTCATCAATAAGTGTTTAGAAACTATGACTTTAAGCAAAAGGACCTACAGCAGGTCCTTGAATAATATCATTTTGTTCAACATTGTTTTCTTATAATATTGATGAGAAAAAAAATAGGTTTTGTTCTGCAGTGTTGTGCTTAAAGTTGCAGTTTCAAAGAGCCTGTGGATAATGTTAGGTGATATACATCTTGCACACATATGCATCTAACACATAGAAATAATCTGAATGTTTTCAACTTTTAAAAATTTTCCTTCTTTACTTGGTAAAATCTGACTTTTAAAATGTTACTCTGGGAGTTTTGTAATAACAGGCATACTTATTTTCCTATTGAAGGACATTAGGGTTCATAAGTGGCTTCTGAAATAAAATTTTTGCCAAACATATATTTATATGTTTCCTAATTTTTTGATTTAAATAACACACATTTTCTACTAACACAAGGGAATGTAGTGGCAGAAAAACTCCCATCTTCATCTTCTTAAGGTTCCAACTGGGTCCAAGAATTAAATTGACAAAAGATAGATTAGCAGGAGAAAATCATACACATTTATTTTATAATTTTATGTGGCACAAGAGCCCTCATAGAGAAATAAAGACCCCAAGAAGCAGTGAGAGTCAGTTACAGACATACCTTATTTTATTGTTTCACTTTATTGAATTTCACAGATGTTGCATTTTTTACGATTTGAAGTTTTGTGGCAACCCTGTGTCCAGTAAGCTTATCAGCACCATTTTTTCCAATATCATGTGCTCACATTTTGGTAATTCTCACAATATTTCTTACTTCTTCATTATTGTTCTGTGTGTTATAATGATCTGTGATCCATGTTCTTTGATGCTCCTATTATAATTGTTGGGACACCACAAACTAAAAGACAGTGGAACTTAATCAGTAAATCTTGTGTGTGTTCTTGACTGTGCCACTGATCAGCCTTAATAATCCTACAGTTGCCTCTACATGGTCAAGTAAAATGAAGAGTTCCACATCTCTCAATTTAAATCAAAAGCTGGAAATCAGCAAGGCAAGTGAGGAAGATTGTCAAAAGCCAAAAGCTACGTTTCTTGAGACAGCCAAGTTGTGAATGCAAAGAAAAGGTTCCAAAAGGAAATTAAAAGTGGTACTCCAGTGACCACACAAATGATAAGAAAGTGAAACAGCCTTATTGCTGACACAGAGAAAGCTTTATTGGTCTGGATAAATGATCAAACCAGCCACAAAATTCCCTTAAGCCAAGCCTATTCCAGAGTAAGGCCTTGTCTTCAATTCTGTGATGGCTAAGAGAGGTGAGAAAAAGTTGAAAGCTAACAAGGTTAGTTCATGGTGTTTAAAGGAAAAAAGCTATCTTTGTAACATAAAAGTGTGAGGTAAAGCAGTAAGTATTGATGTAGACATTGCAGCAAGTGACCCAGAAGATACAGGTAAAATAACTGAAGAGGGCTACGCTAAACAGATTTTTGATGTAGATGAAACATCCTTCCTTTGGAAGAAGATGCAATCTAGGACTTCATAGCTAGAGAGGAAAAGTCAAACCCTTCTTCAAAGCTTTAAAAGACTCCTTGTTAGAAGGTAACACAGCTGGTGATGTTAATTTAAAACCAATGCTCACTTACCATTCTGAAAATTCTAGGGCCCTCAAGAATTATGCTAAATGTACTCTGCTTATGCTCTATAAATGGAGCAACAAAGTCTAGATGACAGCATATCTGTTTACAGCATGGTTTACTGGATATTTTAAGCCCATTGTTGAGATCTGATGTTCATTAAAAAATAAAAAGGTCCTTTCAAAATATTACAGCTCATGTACAAAGATTTGTGTCATGCCTGCTAACACAACATCCATTTTGCAGCCTGTGGATCAAGGAGTAATTTTAACTTTCAAGTCTTATTATTTAAGAAATGTATTTCATCGGGCTAGAACTGCCATAGATAGTGATTCCTTTGGCAGATTTGGGCAAAATAAATTGAAAACCTTCTGGAAAGGATTCACCATTCAAGGTGTCATTAAGTATATTTGTGATTCATGGGTGGAGGTAAAAATAACAACATTAACAGGAATTTGGAAGAAGTTGGTTCCAACCTTCTTGGATGACTTTGAGGGATTCCAGACTTCAGTGAAGGAAGTAACTGCAGTTGTGGTGGAAACAATGAGAGAAATAGAATTAAAAGTAGATCGTGAAGACAGGGCTACATTGCTACAATCCCATGGTAAAACTTGAACAGATGAGGAGTTTCTTCTTATGGATGAGCAAAAAAAGTGCTTTCTTGAGATGGAATCTACTTCGGGAGAAGATGTGGTGAAGATTATTGAAATGACAACAGAAATTTTAGACTATTACATAAACTTAATTGTTAAAGAAGCAGCAGGTTTTGAGAGGATTGATTCTATCTTTGAAAGAAGTTCTACTGTGGGTAAAGTTGCTATCAACAGTATTTCAATACAACAGAGAAGTCTTTGGTGAAAGGAAGAGTCAATGTAACAAACTTCATCATTGTTTATTTTAAGAAATCGGCACAGTCAACCCAACCTTTAGCAACTACCACCCTGATCAGTCATGGTACCTGATCTCAAACCAGGTGAAGTGGGGACCAAAGGGAGGTCCTGTATGATTGACCACTTATCTACCTAATCCTGAAATGTTCCCCACAACTTTAAAAAAAAAGAATATGACTCACTTATGTCTCAAATGATCACTAGCATTTTTAAGCAAAATTTTAAAGGTAAGATATATACATTGTTTTTTAGACATAATGCTATTGCACACTTGATAGATTACAGTGTAAACAAAACTTTTATATGCACTGAGAAACTAAAAAATTTGTGTGACTTGCCTTATTGTCGTATTTGCTTTATTGTGGTGGTCTGGAATCAAACCTGCACTATCTCTTAGGTATGCCTATACTTATGTACTGGATTGAACAAAGGACAGTACACTGTGAAAATATACCTAAGTGTGGGGAGACTTAAAAGATAAGAGCTATTTTAACTAGAGTTCTGTCTCAATTTTTCGTCCTTGAAGATAAGGATGTTGCTTTTTTTTTTTTTTTTTTAAATCTAGTGTAGGGAGGGCATCTTTCACGTGAGAATTTCATCTACTTTCAAGAAACAGCACAAAGGTCAAAGTGATCTTCTTGTACTTGATGTTTTTCAAGCGCCTTTAATGTAAGCATATTTTAACTTCTTCAAGAGCATGCAGGTTTGTGTGTGTGTGTGTGTGTGTGTGTGTGTGTGTGTGTGTGTGTGTATCAGGGTTAGTCTTATGTAAGACAAGATGTGGCAGGAGCAGTTAGAGATTTATTTCAGTTTTTATTTTGAGACAGTCCACAGCACATTCTTAAACTAGTTGCTCTTCTCAATAATTTCCCCATGCTTCCTGTATCTTCACTTTCTTATAGATATTTTTGTTTCTCGACCTCCTCCTCATCCTCCTTTCTCCCTCTGTTCCTATCCTCTTCTGATGGTTTTCAGAGCAGTAGCGCCTTCTCTCACCTCTGCTTTAACAGTAAAGCTGTGTATATGTGTGGAGAGAGGCTGAAAAATAAAACAGACGGTTCTTTCATCACCAGGTTGCTTTGGATGAATTGAGCTGGATATGTTATTATTTTTAAGGAGACTGAGCTGGATCCTTTGGAAAAAGGCATGAACGACAGTCATGTAATATGTGGTGTTGGTTTTGCTGTTGGATTTTTTTGTTTTGTTTTGTGTTTGGTAATTTCATCATCCTGCAAAGCATTTTTTAAAAAGCAGAAGCAATTTTACTAAAATAGCATTTTCATTAAAATTCTTTAAGTGGCTTTAGTTTTTTCTAGGGTAGTTGAGCCATTCTTTTAAGTTCATTATCTTTGTGTTTTATTTCAGCACTTGCTAGTAAAGAAGAAGCACAGTCCTTGACCTTGGATAATTTCTATTAGAGAGACTCCAGCAATTCAGAATTTAGCCAACAGCCTCCTGAACTTTGGCATCCTGGCACATTCTTCATCTTCAGGAACAGAAGGCCTTTGGGAAACAGATTTCTACCAGTGCAGGTAAGCAAAGGCAACATTACCATTGTCTCAGATTTCTGGAATGTTCTTATACATTGTATATATGTTCTTATACAATGTTTATATCTCTTGTTTGTGATGTTGCAATCCCCTCTCCTTCTATGAATCCAGCTATTGGTTATTTTCTCTCTTAATAGTTTTTCAGGTGGCCAGAGGGGCCTATGAGATTGTTCATATAGTCAATGGCCTTTCAGGATATTCCAAAGCTGAGCTATAGAAATTTTAAATATGATTTTTATTCTTGATACGAATGGGCCTTTTGGGGGGACTGTTCTAAGCCAACATGTAATTAAGGAATAAAAATCTAGAGTATTACATGCACCATAAATGCGTATTGTAGAAGTAATCTTGGGCAAGAGGCATGCCCCTTTGGGCCTTGTTTTCTCAACAGTAGTAATTCTAGTTCCTTCTCTGTCTTTACATGAAACAGTTAATAATAATTTCATGAAATTACCTTGTAATTTGTAGGCTTATTCTAGTTACTGTTCTTGGAACCCCATGCACAAATTTCAGACATCAATGCAAAATTTCATTCTGAGAAAGCTCTAGAGTTCAAATGTCCACCAGGAATTACCTACATGTTGTACTCATGAATCTAAGCAGCTTTTTGGAGTTTTATCAGAAAGTGATACTAGCATTTTTGCTACATTACAGTCATGTTTGGAGATCTTTTTGTGAAAGATACTTATTGACAGAGAACATTGTGCTTTAGTGGTATCAGCTAGTCGTACATTCACAAAGATTTTGTGATTGAGTCCCAAGGAATCTCTTGAACTCTTGCTTGTTCACACTGAGATTGTTCATGATGGTTTCAAAGCCCTTGCCAGCATTTTCCTGAGACACTGGACTCACAGAACTCTTGAGTACCATGAATCTAACCTGGAGGAAGGTCTAGATCCTCAGTATTTTTTTTTAATTGCCAACAACATCTTAATTTAATGAAATGTGGACTGTAATCATCTTGGCGATTTGCAGAGCTGCCTTTTCTGTCAATCTTTACATTTTCTGGCATCAAGAAGATGGAAGTATTTGAGAGTCTTTGTAGCATAATGATGAAGATGGATTCTGATGTGTGCCTAGGCTCAAGTCCCAGCTCTGCCACTTACTACTTTGTTATCCTGGGGCAAGTTAATTTCTGTATGCTTTAGTGTCATTATTCACATGACAGAGAAAACAATAATGATGGCTTTCTTAAAGGATAGTTTTGAGGATTAAACTAATTCTATGTCTAAAGTAATTAGAACAGTTCATATAAGTGTTTTGTGAAATTTAAGTATTTTTATTGTCACCTGTTGCACAGTGTTCACTGTCTGCCTTCAATCTCTAGCCTAGGGCTGACAGATATTCCAATCTTCCTTTTCTTACCTTGTCAGACATTGCTAAGTCACCATGGCATTTGCTTCTAAGCTTAAGACACAACATATGCATCCTTCTCAATATTAGAATGAATCCAAATGAGAATGTATGAGGAAACCTGTCTCCCAATTCAGAAGATTGTAGAGTTCTTCATTTTATGTCTTGCTTTAAAAATATACATTTGAAATGATTACAAATGGGGGGGGGGATTGTTTTTACTTATTATGTTTTATGAAAAACATAAAAAAGTGTGGCTTCTATGGCCAGAAATAGGGTCTAATTCTAAGATGAGTTTTGCCAGTGAATGACTACTGTTTTGAATGCCTTCCACTTTGTATTCAGAAGCAGATGAGCAAAGCTTCCTGTCATAGATACTTTCAAATGTTCAAATGAATGTGCAGCAATAATAGCACAGGAATGGAAACTTAATTTTTTGAGGCTATTATTAGCACAATGTCATGAGTTTCTTAGGATCCCTACCAGGACATTTTGAAGCTCATTTTTTAATGAGGCGTTGGTGTATGGGCAGCTAATATTTCACCAATTAAAAAAAAAAAAAAGAAAGAAAACAAAATTAGGAGAATCCTTAGCATGTGCCTGATACTTAAGTGCTTGATGTTTACTACTTGTCATAGCTCTAATAGGTAAGATTTTTAATCCCCATTTTACACCTGAGGGAACTGAACTATAAAGAGGTAAAGCAAATTCCCAGGATGATAAAAACCAGTCAGAGAAAGAGCCGAGGCTCAAACTCAGGGGGTCTGATTCCCAAGCAAACAATTTTATGCGGCTACCCTAATTATGCAGCTACCCACAAAGAACACATTGCATGAAAAAGATGATGAGAAGCAAGATGGAAGGACCAAATTATGGAATTCTGAAGTGCTAGGCGAAGTGACCAGATGAGAGCCGAGCTGTGAGGATTTTATGCTGTATACAGCGTGTGGGCTTCAACAGAAGAGAATTGCAGGCAGCTAAGGTGAAAAGCAATGAGAACATGGGTTTAGGAGACAGAATTGAGATAACAGCTTGAGAACACCTGTGTTTGGGTGGACAGAGGAGGAAGAGGAAATCTAGGTGGACCTGCAGAGAGAGAATGGATGGAGGCCCAGGCCAGTGCTGTGCCCCTCAGGGGAGGTGGGTCAGGAACTGAAAACTGTCACGGTCAGAGAGGATTGGAACGAAACAAAGATGAGTGGGTTTAGAGATATTCATTCATTCATTCCTTTATTGATTTGCCTATTTTCTCATCACATAAGTAAATATTATCGTTTGTTCATGAGGAGACAAGAATTGTGCTGGAGGGGAACCTAGGTAAAAATGTTCTGTGCCACTGACTGTGCTACCTATTAGCCAGATCACCTTTGATGCATTTAAAAAATTTTTCTAAATCCTGGTTACCTTTTCCTGTAACATAGTACAAATGTCCTTGACTCTTGTGGTCTTTTCATCTTTAAGATCTGTGAATCTTGGGTCCAAACTGTGGATAGCAATAATTGGAAGCATTGTTGTTGATGTTTGTTTGGTGATTCATTTGGCACTTTTCGGTGACTCAGAAGGAGATTTAGAATGAAGTGTGTGTCCTCAGGTGTAACTTGAGTAGAAGAATCCTATGTGTTTTCTCTCAGGAATACTGGTAGTATTGTAGTGATACCAATAATAGATGGAAGGATCTGATTGAAAATAATATGGGAAGGACAGTGTCCAGGGAATTTGCAAAGAAACCACAAACATTCCCTAGAATGGTGAGGGAAATTTTTTTCAAAGCCACTTATTTTCAAAGAACGTCTGACTAGTTTCTTCAGGGAAAATTCTGTTGTTTGAAAACTTTAAAAGGTCAAGCCCCAAAGACTTTAAAGACACATGGAATTTAGAATGAGCTTCCAGTTTTCCTCAAAAGCTATGTTTTTTTTTTGTAAAGTGCTGATGCTCTAAGTTAGATACAATTCCTCTTTTCTCTGACCTCCTGCAGTGATTCTCAAACAAACAGGTCACCTGGGAGTCTTGCTAAAATGCAGATCCTGACTCAATGGGTCAAAAGGTGAGGCTGGGATTCCATGGTCCTACCAACTTCCCAGGTGATGCCTACCAACTTCCCAGGTGACCACACTTTGAGTCTAAAATATTTTGGGTCTAAAATATTTTGCTTTATTTCTCATAACGGATAGTCAAAATCATTGTGAAATAATATATCTTAGCTCCCTTATAAGAGGTCATAGCATTAGGAAGTGTTCGATATTAATAGATTAAGAGTTTCTTATCTTGGTCAGTGATTTGTATTATTCAACAGCATCAATCATTTGAATTGCTATAGGAAGGAACTTTTTAGTTTTAACTGAGAGATCAAAGTAAATTTGTTCTTCCAAAATGGGCACCGGGATGCAATATAAAGTTTTCATATAAAGTTAAAAATATATTTACTATATGACCCATGAAAGCATATATCCACCTAAAGAATTGTACCTGAATGTTCAATGCAGCTTTATTTACAGCAACCAAAAATTGCAAAGAAACCAAAAGTGTCTTGTCTGGTGAATTGATAAACAAATTGTGGTATAGACATATATGGAGCAAAAAGAACACACTCCTGGTATAAACAACAACATGGACAATTTGTCAAAAAGCATTGTTATTAAAGGAAGCCAGAAATAAAATATATACTGTGTTGTTTTATTTATGCCAAATTTTAGAAAAGGCAAAACTATAATGATAGCTGATCAGGTTGCCAGGGGCCAGGAAGTGGGAAGAGGTAGAATTTTGATGACAAAGTGGGAAAAAGGAGCTTTTGGGGTTGATGAAAATGGTTAGAATAATGACTTCAGAGATTGCTACCTGATTTTATAGATGTTTCCAAAACTCATCAAATTGTACCCTTAAAAGTGGTGAATTGTATTGTATGCAAATTTTATCCCTAGGTACTCAGGAGGCTGAAGCCAGAGGATTGCTTGAGAACAGGGGTTCGAGACTAGCCTGAGCAATATAATGAGGCCCCCATCTAGAAAGAAAGAAAGAAGAAAGAAAGAAAGAAGAAAGGAAGGAAAGAAAGAAAGAAAGAAAGAAAGAAAGAAAGAAAGAAAGAAAGAAAAACAGAAAGCTAATAATGCTAATTTTAAAAATCAGCCACAGTCATCACCTGTAAACAATATCTAATACTTCTTGGAGGTTGATATTTTATCAGTGGGAAGTTAATATGAGGATATAGATAAAATTTCCATTTTAAGGGAAGAAGTGAGACTCTGGAAGAAAATGTGAATAGACAGTAGGAACATAAGAAGTTCCCTTAAAAGCTTACTTGTGTATTTGCAATGGAGCAGAGTCTAAAGAGAAAGGTCTTGAAAACAGGAACTCTAGTTCATTTATTTTTAGCATCTGGTATAGTTGCTGTTCGCTGAGTGATTTTAGTGTGTCCAGCTGTGCTATTAAAAAAACAAAATTCTGCTGAAAAATCATTTCTCTCCTTTTTACATTCTTTGAGCACACCCCATTTTCAGGTGAGGATTTGGTCATCTGCTTTGGCAGTGAGAGCTTAGCGTTACATGAAGCAATTTGTCTACCAATGCTAAGGAGGAACACTGGCAAAAGCCCTGGCTTTCTTGGAAAATCTGAAAGATAAGGGTGTATGTGTG